TTGCTAACGAAAAAATGTGAATTATAGGGTAATACGCCCGCGCGCGATGCAAAAGCGGGGAACACATAGGTTTGTCGCGTCAAAGGGATCTGTTGCCGAGTGATCTCCTTCTCAATAATACCTCCATGGGCGGACTATCATTCGCAAAAGTTTTCCAATGAATTGTTCGCTCTGGAATCAATCACAAAGAAACGAACTGGCCAAGCCAGACTGGAGGCGTTTTTTACGAAAAGGTTGGTAATGTTTACTGAGTTTTAATGATGATGAGTTTAAATTATCTTTGAGAATTTCTAAGTTTATTTGATTTAATATGCCTAAATTTCCCCGATGTTTTAATGAATAAAAGATAAAATGGGACCTCCCTTCATTCATCATACATAGTCATAGGCCTAGCCGTTTACAAAACAACCACATTAACTTAGCGGCTCCTACCTATAACTGTCCAAAACCCAAGTGATATGCAAAGTAGAAAGGCTACGATAATGCTGTAATTAATAATAAAACCGTATCAATTAGCGCCTTTTTAATCTCAGTTTCGGCGAGGAATGCCCTTGTCAGGCGCTTTTTGCATTTTTAGGGCAAAAGGATCACTAGCATAGAGTAGTTAGTTTATGGCCTGCGTGCGGAATGTAGACCTTTCCTTCAAGCAATAATTTGGCTTAGAAACCCGTCTGCGCATCTTGCAAAAAGAGGGCCGATTTCTGCTCAGATTTTGCCGAAAATTAGGCTTTGATCTTTAATATATAACCAATGCAATTATGTAGCAATTACGATTACGATTAGCCTACGCGCACACCTATTTTCCTAGCGATTTTTAGGTACTGTATCCTTCGCGCAATTAAACTTTAGTGTGTGGTCCCTGTGTATAGGCTGCAGCAGAGTACATCGTTATTAATATTATTATTACTTTTTGTTTGTAAAACATCACAGATTGTAAATTAAGTTTATTCAGAAAATCATCTCAAATACTTTAAACGTACCTGCCTCTATGCTCAGCTGTCCATACTTAATCCAGGAAATTGAGATGCTAGCAATATTATTTACGTTGTAAAAACCAATGATATGGTGCATGATGTTATGAGAAGTGAGCTTGCATTATTAAATCCATTGATAGAACAGTCTCAGTCTGGTCCTTTTTCACTCCCTTCATTAGTCTTTTTGACAAGTGTTAAATGTAAATTCACAACGAAAAATTTACTTTTAAAAATTGTTAAAGATCATACTTCAGTGTTGTAAAATACTGTATAAATGCAGCTGAGAATGCACCAGAGAGCATATAGTACCCTAAAGCTTTCGGGGCCCTCAGGCGGACCCCGAACCCCACCCGGAAGGGCGCCTCGCACTGCACGCTCGGCAAGCTTACTTACAACTGATTTACCAGTAAAAATTTTTTAATTGGGAGAACACTGGACTTGGTACCCTTAGGTTTACATTATAAAAGTGTGGCATGCATTTAAAAACAAGAATGTATTACTGTGTACAGTATATTATGTGCAATGGGTTAGGTAT